GACACCAAATAAGTATAGTTCACACGATCTAACGATGGCCACAGGTTTTCCATAAACGTTTCAAAAACCTCATGGGACAGTAAGACCTCAGATGAGTACTGACCAGAAGGTCCATGGTTCCAAACTAACATCGGGATCTCGACTGTTCTTGTTTACGATTGGGCAACCTGGCAGTATCTTGAAGCTCTTGCTTATAAAAAGTGGTACGGCAGCCATGCACCCAGAGGATATCACAATCAAACGATTATTACTACCGAAAGAGAGAAGGCCTTCGCTGCAGAGTTATTTATTAGAAAGTACCAACTGACCGGTTACAGACTAGTGGACGGGGAAGGAAAACTCTCACTTACATCTTATTTACAAAACCTGGACGCGTCTACTTGAACTTTTGTGGATATTCATTGGCTCCAATCATTCATTGCTCAAATCCAAGCAAATGTTATGAAGCGACTCCACAAATTCCGCAACAGGTCTCCTCTTTTCACGAGACGCAGAGCGAAATTTCAAGAACAACACATACTACTACTCAATAGTATCACCGTTACACTATTAATGCTACTGTTATCACCGAGCTCGGATGCCCTATTTATATCATACACTTTCTCTACCTTTTCTGTGGCCTTCCTATAATATTTTGATGAAATTCTGAAGCTGGTTTCTTGAAGTTTCCTACAGGAGAATTTCCCTGGTTCTCGTCACAAAAATCGTTTATTTTGACGGAATGCACAACTAACAATTTTGTCAAGGTCCATTTACATTTTATGATAAAGAGGTTTTCAAAGTTAAGGCGCTGTCCGATCCGCCTCAATTTGTGAAACGCGGATCTGGTTAGGAATCTGTCTATACTTCTAAACCTGAGCATCAAGGAAAGACAGGAAATTTCGAGTTTCATTTTCGAAAGTCACTTGCTTTGCGCATGCTGACTTCCGTTTCAAAAATTTCGTTCGTCTACTTTTGCATTCCAATGCCTAACAAACTGTCAACTATTTCGTTTTACCACTCAAATTGAATGTGAATGGGCAGCAGATGATGTAAAAGATGCATTCCACTTAGTCTAAAATGATACTTCTTGCCCGCATCAGACAGTCATTCGTCGCCAGACATAGGGAAATCTCCACAGGATGTAGAGAAGCACTGGATATGTCACACCCAGCCTTTCATTATCCTTGCGTCTGTACTTCAAGTTGTTCACAAGCTCCACTACCAAAATCCAATCGCCGCTAGCCAGAGCAATACGTGGGGCATGTTTGAACAAAAGCAGTTGGTCATAGGTTGGTTTCACACGTACTTGTAAGACTGAACGCTAGACTATGTATACACGTGTGGACGTCTGTAATGGCTACGGGGAGATGAGTTGAACAAAAACCGTGATATGGTAGTTCTAGCTGCAACTGATTCAAATGAGCTATTCATTAACCCGTCTCGTGAGCCCACCTCCCCTGCGAACAACAATCGCGAGAGACAAAATGACAGAAACCGATTGTAAAGACCAAATTCACTCTTGCGCGTCCGCAATGACGTCTTAACGTGCTTTGCGCAATAGCGTTACCCATATTCAGCATGTTGTTCGGTATTCCTGTGGAGGATGCACATACTAACGAGAAAGTAAGTAGGTCTGACAGAAGTTTCACCGTATACGGTGAGGATGAGATGGGGTAGGCGGTGTATTACACCTGTTTAGGTTGATTAGTGCTGGGTGATCTTCCTCAGAAGCGAAATCGGAATCACAAAAGACAAAAGAAACCAAGGTTGAGTGGTTTCTTCTGTATAGACCAGCGTACCTGTCACGGAAGCCTTGAAAGTTTGCATAACCTGTTAGAAAATGACTCAACAGTGGCCACACACATGCAACCACCCTCAATATCATTGACAGCATATCACACACACTGAGTGTTCACTTTCGGAGACAGAGTCGGAAATCAAGCTTCGTTCACGCTCGACTTATTTCGCGCTAAAACAGATACCGTAGAGACAAACAAGTTGAATAGTAATTATCACCCCGATGACAGAAACCGTGCCAAATATTCTTATCAGGCACTCAAAAAAGATGATAGGTCCCCGCATCCATCATATGATGAAATTATGTTCACGACAATGCTAGGGTCATGCAACGAGAATTTTCAGGTGAAATGGAACATCTCCTGAACTCGCTCTGAGCCATATAAGGCTTGCTCGCGAAATCGAAATTGCATACCGTCCCTTCACTTTTCTTAGCTGTTGAGTCAGAGCCAAAGAATCAAATTTTGGTTTGACTTTGTGCCATAAGCCGACTCCCTCTGGACGTTGGCTGGATTACCTTCCATGAAACGAACCGTGGTAAGCTGACTGATAGAGCTTAAATGATGTTTTAATAGGGCCCTCAACGCCAACGTAGTAAATAACATCAGGAATATGCTGTGATGGAACGACTATCCCGTATCAGGCACTTGACCAGTCATAAACAAGACAAATATCAAGAAAACGGTATCATCCAACCAACAGTTCAGATCGTCCACTGCGCAAAAACTGATGAGCAAATTCGTGCGGTTTTATCAGAATTTACTAAGACCAGTGTCCAAATTAAAACAATGCATTCATTAGACCCTGGACACACCATAAAAAACCCATCAAACCCAGTGGTCAGACTAACTGTGTACATAAAATCTATTGTGAGGATTGAGAACGGAGAACGAGACAAATGAGGGAGCGCATTGCAGGACGCAAAGGTATGCACGCTTTCTTCCCCACAATCCCCTGCAATTTCAGAAGCTGAAATTCAAGCCATTACTCTGTACGCATTAACGGAAAACCACATTTTAGTTGACCAGATTCGTTCAGTTTAAACGAGCCCTACAAGGCAAGCAGAAGGGTGCCCCACGAAAGCGTTGATAGCCGACGACCTGTCTGCAACAAGCGGAAAACGATCAGCTCCTATCCGATCTGTGGTCGGAGATCATAAGCACCAACCTGTGCTTCAATCCACGCACATGTAGCTGTCATTTCTTGACTATTGGGACAGCCCCGCTTTTGATACACGAGCAAAACGCCTTAAGCTGGTGCTGGTACTCTAAAGCAGTACAGCAAAGTCCTACTGAAAAAGAACATTATGAGCGGGGATCGGCCGAAAAAAACTGTGTTGAAAAGAGGCTCCAAGGAAGCGAAAACCAAGTGAATCTAATTGAGGTGTAACTCAGGTGAGTTACGGTCCCCATACGGAGACCCGACAGCGATCATCCCATACAAGATGGGAAAAATCTGAATAATTAGAAGAGTGGTGAATAGGATTATTATCTCAGTAGGATTCAAACATTGGTTCACTTGAAGGAGCGTCTCGAAGTTGGTAGGGATTATGTGCAGGAAACAGCCAAGGAACTATACGACAAAATCTGTTGAGCACAGGTACAAACCATGAGGAATTTCATATGAATATGAAGCGATCAAATACTCAGCAGTAGCGGGGAACGCGCCGGGTACTGGACATGAAATAGATCTCGAAAGTCAGGAGAGTTCCGAGAGGAGGACTAAGATTCACAACACCCTAACTGATTCGCGAGAAGGTGGAAATCCTCAAGTGTCTCAGCGTGGAGAGAGCAGAGGGTGTAAAAATGGGAAGCATGTGCAGAGTGGCTTTAGATTAGCCGAGTTTACACATGGCGGGATGCGATTATCTGGGAGAAGGAATTTTCTATGTGGTTTGGTCCCAAAGTAGAAAAACCAAATCGACTAAAACCCACGTAATTGCTCACCTTCTAACTTGATAGTCTTACTCACCCACTAGGTTTCTGGAAAAACTCAAGAGGAATATTCAGCCAAAGTGCCTCGAACGGGAAGAACACGGTCGTTGAAGTGGTCACTTTCACATAACCCATCAGTCTCAAGTCTTTGTCATCCACACCGGCAATAGGAACTTTCGATTACTGTCCAGCAATGATCAGGTATGGAAGTTTGAAGAGATGTCACCGACTGGCCTGTCTTAAAATTTGGTCAACCTGACAACTTAGTCTTTTGATAACATCTGATAACAATCGGTGCCAAAAGCGGAACCTTGTCAACGAATAAATTCACCGACTACTCACAAGGTTGCTGGAAACTCTTCGACCTTGTGAGTAGTTTCCTTTAGGAAAATACACTGCAATACCTCGAATATCGTACCAACCGAAACATGGGGCAGCCTATGTACAACATGTTCAGCTGAAGAGCATCATATACGAGAGATTCACTTGAGTCGCCCGTGAAAACCAAATTGATTTGCAAATGAGTGTATTTGCTAAACCGACTGTTTAAGAATTCTGCCTGAAACACCGATTTACTGATAGTTCCACAACACTTTCTAATTTAGATGAACCTAGAATCAATTTTGATTACCATGAACTTCTGTTTTATGCCAACGTTAGGTTATTTTCGCACACGACCCAAGGGTATTGGTTTGCTAAGGACGCCTTCCGTTCAAAGTTACAGTCTAATTCTGCAGTAAACCAACCAAAAGAGATCCTCGCGTAACATCACTCCCTTAGCAGTAAGGATTTTCTGTGAGATAAGGAACCCGAAAAAGAAAGTAAATACTATTGTGCTCAATTTTGGTAACGGAAAAAAGGTACACGCGACAGTCCAGGTGAGGAAGTAGTGAAGAATATGAGGACACTAGAATCCCCATTATCTGATTGCATCGCTTCAGGGCTAGCAAGTCACTCTGATTGTTTTTAGGGTCAATGAAATTCGTAATTCGTTCATGCGATTTGATGAAACTTCCTACCAACGTTCTGGAACTGGCGGATGACAAAACCGTCGGATATGAATAAATAACGTTCAGTTTTAAATACAATCCGCTTGAATGGGCAGCTAAGAATGAGTGCATGCATCTGGAGTATCTGACCGTCATCTTTAATACATGCACGTAATGAACCGGGATGGTACAAACAGAAGGAAGAGAGTTCTGGGACACCACGCTACCGGAATTCCGAACCAAGCCAGTTTGAATTAATATCCACCAGTACAACCATTTTTAGCGGGATGAGTCTTACCTTCAGAGAGTAAATAATCATTGAGCAGTTGAAATAAGGGAAAACTGTCCCAACAATCTGGTGGCATGGTCTCCAAAACGCCAGTCATGTCGGCGGAGAAGAAGTTCCAAAAAAGTTCGGTGTGTTCTGTTAGAAGATCGTGGAACCAAGCGAACGCCTGTAAAGTGACCAGAAAGCATACAGGTAACGACTTTGCATCTGAGGATAACAAAGCAAGTTAGCTGGTTGAGTTTGGCTGATCAGAGTCAATAAGGATAGAGAGGTTGATGTTGCACAGTTCACGATTACTCAACTGCTACTACGTAGATGCCTTAGTTTCGTTGTCAGTATACTCCCAAACTTGAAAGTCGAATCCAAACTATATTGAGTCATGCCACTTAATTGAACACGGGGAATGTCCAAAGAACGCATGTGCGTTTTAGTAAGCCTGGACCTAACAGATATATTCGGCAAAATGATACAGTAGACTGCCTACCTTGGTCGGACGGGTTTTGTGGACCATCAACATACAGTGTCTGTCCAACGCTAATGCATAAACTGAGGTGTCTGCTCTCATTTTTGGTCAGAATCCGTCCGACACAAGTGTCATTCTATCGACGCTACTACCAGCTACTACCAGCCAAAATCGGATAAAGTGTTATCTCTCATCTGAGTGTAATTCGATCACACTACAAAAGAGCCATTGAACGGTATGGCTACGAATAGAGTGGTTGAGGGTTCGAATCCCCCTAGGGGGTTATTAAATGCACACTACTGACTAGTCCCCATGATGATGACGATGCTTCTCGGCCCTTTAGCATAGACTACCTTCGCATCATTGACGGGAACCGCCCACTTCCTATCGCTCGGTGGAGCAGCACCACCTACTTTAAAAAGGCTTCTAGTAAGGTGACGATATACCTCCTTAAATCGATGTACTGACGTTAGATGAGTTTCGTTTCGTGACGGAATTTTGTGGACCGCACGAGTTGATCGATTCAACTGCCGGTTCATATGTACCCTTTTGTCATGCGGAATTTTGTGGACCGTACGAGTCGATCGACTCAACTGCCGATTCATATGTATCCTTTTGTCGTGCCCGTTGGAATAAACAGTTTCACTCCCAGCCAGACTGACTAGTGGCATGATAGGGAGAGATAACACCCCCCCCCCCAAATTAGTCAGTCAACGCCATTGGGGGCATGCCCAAACCGGTCATCATTAATGCAACGTCATCTATAGTGCATCAGGACTGTGGTATGGTGGCCAATCAGCGAGAGTCTGCCAATTCGGCACTGACGACTGATCGAATTTGCCGATTCATAAAAACTTAGGTAGTGCATTCCTACATAAAAAGCAAACAAGCTAATCTCAACCGTAAGACAGTGGTTTAGAGCTGTTCCAAAAAAGAAGTCTAACGACACGAAGAAATTCGTCAAAAAGGCGTGCGTAAAAGGGACTGTAATTTCCAGTTGTAGGAACGTTGGAAACGACGACAGTTGACAATTAGCAACTTGGCAAAGAACACTGTTTATGGTGTGGGATGCACTCCTTAAAGTGTCACGTGACATATGAAGGATAGCTTATTCTCACTGCTTATCGATCATTATTGCAGAAATGGGGTATGGAGTATCCAAACAGCAGGCAGAGCGCTACTCAGGACTTTGACTTTGTATTTTCTATGGAATACCCTAAGAGCCAGGAAAAATTACGGAAATTTACGCTACTGGTGGAAAGTTGCAGACCGCCAACAATTTTGAACATTTAGGTAAAATCATATTGTATTGGAGACACACAGAACGCTCATGAGTTGGGAGACTAGGTCACCCACTACAACGCGGCTAAGATTGGTAGATGATCAAGGGGTAGCGAACGTCAGCAACACAAAGCATGCATTGATGAGTTGAGATTATTCATACTGATACTTAAAAAGCCAACGCGGTGAGCTAGATCAGAAAGTCCTCATTAAAGCCCGCGATTTGGGTGGCAAAGGCCACGCAGACAACAATTGCTAGCTAGACTTTTGTACTCAAAACAGCTCATGGAGATAACCGTTTGGAAAACAACCTGAATTTGCCGAGTGCGGATATAATCCGACATGTCTAATGGATTATCGTATGTTCCATCGACAGGTAACTGAGGCTGCAGTTACGTCAACATCAAACAAAAGGGTTTTGTAATGTGGTGGATTGTTGGTAGTTCGGGCGCATTCATTGATGACTGATTAGGTGACGGTTGATCTGTTCGCAGAATTCGCTGTTCCGGACCAATCAGAACAGGAATTAATGGACGAAACATTTAGTATATAGTCGGGCAAACGCACGTAAGAAATGCAGATCACAACGTAACACAGATAACGATAAAACTAATCAGACTCTATGTGAGATGATGATCAACAGCCAGCCATGCACATGCATGAAGAGAGGCACTAACCACTCAACAGCGCACCGATGTCCCCTCGAATGGGGATGAAACATCTGCAAGCCAACTTCTACGTTCTGGTTAACCAGGGAATAATTATCTTTGTAGTGTACTACTCATAAGGTTGCTGAAAATCCGTCGACAGCCCACGACTGGTTTCGCCCTTTTTGGGGCTCATCAGGTAGGCGCAGTCCCCGGGTTTCCGTCAAACTTATGTTCTACTTGAAACCAAATTGCACGGAATCAGCGAATATACACTCATTTGCAAAGTAATTTGGTTTTTCGAGAGACTCACCTGGGACCCAACTGAATCTCTCGCTTGTGATGTCCTCTGGCATGGGGCGGCCTGGTGCAGCACATTTAGTTGCCTGAGAACGCCACAAACGAGAGATTCAGCTGGGTTCCAGGTGAGTCTCTCTAGAGAACCGAATTAGTTTGCAAATGAGTGTATATTCGGGGAATAATTGATTTTAGACGCGGTTTAGGCACGTAAATAATGGCACAGTGCACACAATATCGGACAGCTTATGATTGAAGGGCACTCTAATCATGAGTCCACATTTAAGTTTATGTTGTTACAGGTTTATGTTGTTTCGGCTCATTAATCGGATCAAACACTGAAAGTTGATACGTTTACGTAAACTTCAACCGTAGTCGGAGGAAGGAGGGGGGAGAGGGTGGAAAAAACAGTTTCAGATAGGGCGAACAGATAATTGTACTGTACAGAAAAACATTAACGCATTCACATTAATCACACGTTCATCCAATCGAACACAAAAGTAGCTTGAATGTAACTTCACACGCACTCACGTTCACTCGCCTGCGAATCGAGAGTTAGAATTCGACCAGAAATACACTAATTCCTAACCCAATCAGGGGATAAAAATTCAGGCAGAGGTGGCCAAAAGTCGAATAGCTGGAGTAAGTAGGGAACAAACGAGTTGAAACGTCACCACCAAACTGAAATCACCGGCAACAGAATGTGGAAACTGGACAACATGGGCAGTTACCTCTGCATGGTGTTCCTCGTTTTGTCGCAATACCTCAATACATAGTTCGGCCAGATGGATCAAGTCGGTTAGTGTTTTGCCTGGAAAGACAAACACGACAAAAGTGTCTTGTTGAATGTCAGTATAAATGCATCGTGTAGCGACATCCCAACAGTAGGAACTGGGTTAATTTGAGTTGGATAATAACAGTGATCAAAACTCACTGAGCCGCCACATCCAAGCCTGCTAATAATGGGTGCGCCCTTGGTGGATTGTGAAATAAACCCAGAGCTAAAAACACTTCTTTGGGAGAGAACCATGCGAATTATTTAACCGTTGCTGTGTATTGTTTTGCTCATACCACCTTCCACTTGCTCATAAGAGGCTGGTGATTTTGGTGTCTGGCCTACACGATATTGAAACTACTCCGTCAACAGTGTCAGCGGGGCGACAAAACAATCCCGTTAGAAAATGACAGAAATTCAGTCATGATGCGATTAAGTATCGGATGTGTGATTGTCTATTGAGTTGGTGACTGACTGGACCAAGATGCAGGGTATTGTGATGATACACTGTGGCAAGAAAGACAAATGGATCAAACTATGGGCAACCAAAGATAAACCCGCATATAAGGACAGCAAGCACGTGTACTCTAAATCCATCTTGTCACATAAGTTATCTATTCCCTTTTCATATTCACCTCTATGTATTCGACTTCCCATTGTTCCTAATTCCGAATCACTACCGAAATTGAGGAACTTTGACAATGACATGATACGATATTGCGAGAAGAAAAGCAATAAGATCAAATAGACCTTCAAATATCGCTGCGACTCAAATTCGACCGTCTTTCTTTCAGGGCTATAACCACACACGTAGAGCTAATACTACAACCCAGAACAGATTTCACCTCACTGGCACCCGAGCAACGTGCGCTCAGCTTGGAACTTAGTTAGGCAAAGCACGTTCTCATTGGTAGGTGTATTTACACTGTTTATTCCTGAGTTGGAGACTAATAGAACCGCACTTATTATCATTAGGCCTTGTAAACCATCTATAAGTATTGGGAGAGTTTTGGTCTGAGTGAGTAGTCATCGTTTTAGAGAGGTTTGGCAAAAGAAAATCGGTGGACCTACCGCTGGGGAACGTTTCGCTTTTGACACAAAAGCTTTGTCAGGCCAAGTGAATAAGTTACCAGGTTGACCGAGTTTCAAAGCATTCAGAGAACCAATCGATGAAGTCTTACGACTAACCCACTTGACCAGTGCTGGGAGTTAGACGTTCCTGTCTGTTAGTTAGTAGGGAGAACTGACAATTACGATATATGGGCAACTGGGGACTGACTTCAAGTTGAATCCCGATCGCCTTACATTTTCGGTCTATGACACCTTAATGGAAGCTACTTTGTCAGAAGCGAAACGTTGCCCAGCAATAAATCTACCGATTGTTTACAAAACCTTTCTGAAACGAAACTTATAGGTATATTTGTCGGACATAATCATACGTAGCTATTGCGTACAGAAAGACAATTTTCCCAGCCAAAGTCTCTCATCCACGATAATATATTCCATGAATCGAAGTGACGGTGATTCCCATCAGCACATAGAATCTTTATCTCAGGGGCTCCAACCGTATCCACCGAGGATACGGGAGTATTGTGGCAACGTCAGACATGGCAATACATCGAGGATGTTTGGAGAAGGATAGATTAGAAAACTTACTGCGATGTTGTTGAGTCCGACCAGCTCCTGCGTCCCGTCCGCCTTAAAACGAAATGAACACAAGAATCAAGGTAGGCAAGGGTGTAAGAAACAGTGCATAAACAAATAAAATTAAGACGGGAACTGGAAGAAAACTAAAGACAGAGGTTAACAAAGAAAACACGTTATAAGGCTACAAATCTGTACAAAACAAATCTCAGTTTGGAAATGTAACGCGAGTGATGACGATGAACTATCGGTCAATTTGTATAAACAAGCGGATAGTGAGCTTATCGGACTCCAAGTGTGCTGTACGATACTGCTCTCCAAATATGGTACACTTTACAATAGCTCCGTCTTTTACAGTAATGGATGACGGAAGTGCATGTGAATATAGGGTACTGAGCAGAACCCATTAAACTGAAAATATAAATTAGCCTTTATGCCTCTGCACAAACGTTGTTATGGATAACCCAGTTTACATAGGCTTCTTTTACAGCAGTGCGACCACTCTGATCTAGTGACCTGATCGCTGACAGATAGCTCGTTTGATAAGGTCTCAGTGAAAGTTACCGATTGTTTACGAAACCATTCTGAAACGGAACTAATACAACTTACAGGATACGTGAAACGCTCCAAAACGTCGAGTGCTTCTCCCTGGATTGTAAGTGGTGTGCCAAGAACGTGGCCTTATACTTATCGGGTGTCAAGTGCATACCAGAGGACTTTGATCGGCTCATTCGAAAACACCTGCGCACTAGCTTCCTTTTTGATGATAAAAGTGATATCGTCTACATATTGTAGATCGACAAGGTTTTCGTCACAGGCTATTTGAACACCAGGGTTTTGAAGACGTTCCAGCGTTCGCATCATTATTTCATCGATCACGAATCTAAATTGGAGTGGAGATAGTGGGCAACCATGACGAACACTGGTTTGTGTATGAAAGCTTTTGGAGAGCTCTCTGTATGCTCTCACACGTCCATAAGTCTGACAGTGCAAAGAACTTATTGTGTTCACAAAATTCCGGGGCATTCTTTGATGAGTATGCAAGAGAGGGCAGACCGGCCAACCGATTGGAACGCACCTCGCAAATATATGAATACTAAAATTGTGAATCTATTACCGATGACGTTGATCTAGCACCTGACGGAGTGTAAAAATTTGGTCAGTGCAACCCCAGAAGTTCGGAACCCTGCTTGCCACTCTAGTCAGCGTTATACGATTCACCATAAGGCGACGAAACACAAATGACGCCAACAGTCTGGTAATGATCGAGTATCAGACTGATCCCCTATGGTTACCACACTCTCCACGAGCCTCCGTTTTTTGAAAATGGGCATCATCACTGATTTTCCTTAGTACCATAGGACACTACTTTTCCAAAATGCAGTGAACCAGATCAGACAAGCGCTGACTGAGGACTGCATCTCCATCTCGATCTCTGTTTATCATTGTAATGGGTGACAGAATTGCATGCGAAGACAGGTTACTGAGCAGACGCCAGTAAATTGAAAATATATCATAACCCATAGACTTCTACACCCACACTGCTATGAATAACTCAGTTTTCATGGGATTTTTTCACAGTCCAGGGAATGCAGGTGGAATGTTATCTGAACGAGAAGCGCGATGACGATTTAGAAAATATATGTAGTCATGAAGCTCCAAGGCCGCAGGGTGTTCCAGGTTCACCGTCCAGGGTTGTAGGCCACCTATAGGCTCCAGATGGGTTACAGTTGGTGGCCATGTAAACTGTTGTCCGAAGTATGTGGTCCAGCGGTCAAGACATTTTCCTTTATTCAGGATGATCTCACCATTCTAATTCTCGACACCTTCACTCACGAGTAGTTTTCAGGTCACACTGATCAACAGAAATAATCCTCGGGTATTATCGGATTTCTAAGCCTCTTTCATTTCCTTGGCTTTCCGCATCCACCAACCCTCATGATCGGCGCGCACCCTTTCTTTCACTTGACGTCTTATAATTCGTCAGACCAAGTTATTTTCGTGACCGGCTGGAATGTTTCGTCGAGTGGCACTGTTTGGTCTAATATCCAGTGCTCGAGTGGGCTCGGTAGCTCCGTGCCATAGGAAACTCCCAACCAGTATGCAACGAGGTTGGAATCTCATCCCAGTATGAATTACCACCTGGTGGTGGTAATCTGGAGCTGAAAGTCTTTCACCTGTTAAGCAAGTTGTCCGCACCTTACGCGGTCCAGGAAAAGGGGGAAAAGGTCTCCGGACAAGCACGTGGTCGGAACCCACAAATGTGTTCCAAAACGAGTAGCAGTCAGTTTTTGATCGCGCAGTCGGAACTGATGACAATGTGATCACTTTGAATTGGTAGCCGGCACGCCGTTGAAGGACACCACGTGGTCAGGCGACTATCTCGGAAGTTGGTACTGCCTAAAAACGGTCCGCGTCCAACATACAGCTGAAAAATCGATCACGAGTGTTCGTAAATACAAAGTACAATCCATGTCGACCACCTAATTGAGTCTCAGATGAGCTAAACCGGACCTCTTGTGCATTCAAATCTCCGGCAACCACAACGATATCTGAGCATCTAGCTCTCCGCAACAGGAATCTCAAGGTGTAAAGATTGTCTTTGATGCCAAAACTAGTCAGTTGGAGCTTAAGCAGATAGAACAAACAAACAGCGATCAGCTTCTCGCTTATGCGACTCATTCACGGTCCATAAAATAGTAGCGTTTTTAGGCAGAGTGTGGATACATTTCAAGATGAGGGGAAATTCCTTGAAATTGAAATCCAAAATGAAATGAAAAAGCGAAAAAAATGTTGCACAAGTGTCCAAACAGCCATCCAAATGCACAAACAGAGAAACAAATCACCACACTAGATCCGACATGTTATAGAATTACATGCTCTGTCGTTTTATCTTTTTGAGCATCGAATCTGTTCAAGCAGAAAATGGTAGGAATGTTAAAGCGGCAAGCTGAGATGTCACTTGGAACACAAAGACCGCCTACAATATATCTCTGTGATCAAAACTTCAGTGAGCAAAAAAATGCTCTGTGACTTGGCGAGTTTTCGTTAAAATCAATTCACTGAAATGCGTCTCCATTCAGTCGTGAAGGTCAGATGTGGAACGTTCATACAATTCGCCCCACGCAGACAGCAGACAGCGGTTTGTTGTTCTTGCTGCTGTTTTCGTCGCACGGTTGTAAAACCCAATTCTGGACGTTGTTTTGTGGGGATGATTTTATGTAAATTACACCACCCAAACACACTTACCGAATCAATCATTGGGTTTGGGTAGTCTTCCAAATAATATTACTCTCGGATCGTAAATGAGAATAAAATTTATTGACTACAGAACAACATTGGAACTCAACTAAACAATAACTATCCTTCATCGCAAAATTCACAGGCCTAGGAAGAAAGAGCGAAAAAAAAGGAATACGAGCTACTCAAATCTGTATTACTGCAGTGCAATATTTGTCCGTCATTCCGCACTTTCATTCTAGAACCGTTAGCGATGACTAGTATTACGGAGCCCATAAGTCTTCAGGAAAAAAGAAAAACAAATAATTATCACTTTCCATTCACTATGTATACTCAAGATTACCATTCAATATTTTCCCTTTGTTGGATATCTGGATGCGATTGTTCACCATGTTTGTCAACCATGACAACGAGTATTTTTACAAAACAAATTTTAATTTGAATTACAGAACTCTTGAGGTCTCCTCATACACGACAGTACAATTTTCAAATACCCTGCGCACAGCGCGGTATTTGCAAAAATATTATACTTTAAATTTCAAAGCAAACAGACCGAGGGGACGTTATCACGATTTAACGCTCTCACCGTTCAAAACCCCATGAAAAACGATTCTCTTCGTTCCAATGAACTGAATGAAAGATATTCTGCGAAGACCCGCTTAGTTTTAGTTTCCCACAGTTTTGACCAGGTTTCATGTCATGTCTTAATTGACATTCTGGGTTTAGAATGGATGAAATGGGGTTTAACGTTTCCCTATTCCCATAAAATTTGATCGTTCCGAAACAGTCGTAGATAAAAACAAAAGAAACCAAATGACAAGGAACTTGGATACTTGAAAGCGTCGCTAAGAAGAAAGTTGTACCATCGGTTGTGTTCGGGTCTAAATCAAAACGAGGACAGTTTCAGGTTGGGAAAGTAGCATTTACAGAAAGACTCACACGCATAAGGCTCCTTGCGCCCAGCTATCTACCTCTGCACACGTTCATACCGTTTCGACGTGAAGACACGACAGCTAACGTAACTCAGCTATCGTCAGATAGCTCAAAAAGAGAGGACGAAGTGATTGTATTACTTTACTCATTGTACAACTACACGATCACATGGATCCAGGCGACAGATCAGGTGAACCATTTCGAATTAGGGATAAACTAAACTGGTCCCCGAAGTACTGTGGAAGCCAACCACACTGCAACATTCCACTGAACCTGTAGAGGACAACATGGCAACGGTCTGGCAATTTGTCAGTCTATATCTAGTGAAACGCTTGCGAGGGTAACATATTGAGTGGCTTGCTTTTTAAATAAAAATGATCGCAACGTAAATAATCACGAAGATGGTCCTGTTCGTCTGAAAACGGTGTCCGGTAGAGAATACTAGTTGACAGATCGTGAAAACGAACAGTTCGCTGAATGTTCACGATAGCTTAATGTGGGTGGCTGGGGTACAAATAATGTCATGGAGGTATTGAGAGCGATTAACACATCAGAAACAATGCAGTGTGCATCGTACTTTGTTTTTTCACTGAGCCCTGTTACACTTATTAAGAAACCATTCTAAACTCAGCGCCTCCGACTGTGACCCTTGACATCATCAGATTCTGGAGGACGATGAAACAGGTCATTTCAGGCGAACGTAAGGAAACCTAAAACTACAAAAGAACAGCACCTCACCTACTTATGACGACCCCTTGAACACAAGTGGAGCGTTTGTGAAACATTTACCATAGTCCGAGAATAACGAGGAATAAACATAACCTGCTTATCGATATGTTCATAAACTGTTATTAGTGGAGTGTACGCCCTGGATTGGTGGT